TACTAACTACTAACTACTAACTACTAACTACTAACTACTATCTACTAACTACTAACTACTACTACTACTGCTACTACTACTACTACTACTAGTACTAGTACTAGTACCAGTACTAGTACCAGTACTACTACCATTATTACTACTACTACTACCACTACTACTACTACTACTACTACTACTACTACTACTACTACTACTACTACTACTACTACTACTACTACTACTACCACTACCACTACCACTACCACTACCACTACCACAACCACAACCATTACCACTATCATTTCCACCACCATTACCAGTACCAGTACTACAACGCGCGAGCACACCAAGATCAGACATTCCCCGGTATGTTTATTCGGAAACCGAATGGTCACACGTAAGCCAACCAGTTGGCTTTCGAAGACTCTACAGCCCGACCCCGCTCGAAACATTCGCAAAAGAAGCGCCGCAGGAATCGTACATTCCCCGGTGCTACCGGGGAATGTCCGTTTTTCCCGGGGAATGTCCGATTTTCCCGGGCTAAGTACCGATCGCTGGTGGGGGGTGGGGGGGGGGGAGGAGGAGGAGGAGGAGGAGGAGGAGGAGGTAGGAGGAGGAGGTGGAGGGGAGGAGGTGGAGGAGGAGGAGGAGGAGGAGGAGGAGGAGGAGGAGGGGAGAGGGAGGAGGAGGGCTGAGGCGGAGAATGAGGAGGAGGTTGAGGAGAGGAGGGAGGAGGCGGGGAGGACGTTAGGATGCTGAAGAGAGGAGGAGCAGGATGTGATGATGTGATGATGATTTTGATGATGATTGATGGATTGATGATGATGTTTGTGGAGGAGGAGGAGGGGAGGAGGAGGGGGAGGAGGAGGAGGAGGAGGAGGAGGAGGAGGTGGAGGAGAGGAGGAGGAGGAGGGAGGAGGAGGAGGAGGAGGAGGTGGAGGAGCGAAAGAGGAGGAGGAGGAGGAGGAGGAGAGGAGAGAGGAGGAAGGAGGAGAAGAGAGAGCAAGTTGGAGGATGGGAGAGTGAGGTGGAGGGATGATGAGGAGGAGGAGGAGGAGGAGGAGGTGGTGAGGAAGATGGGGAGGAGGAGGAGGACGGGCGGAGGAGGAGAGGAGGAGGTGAGGAGGAGGGGAGGAGGAGGAGGAGGAGGAGGAGTGGGATGAGGAGGGGAGGAGGCGGTGTGTGGAGGAGAGGTGGGGTGTGTGGTGGGATAATTTTGATGAGGTGGATAGGAGAAGGATCGGAGGAGGATGTGGAGGTAGCAGGAGGAGGAGGAGGAGGAGGAGGAGGAGGAGGAGGAGGAGGTGGAGAGTGAGGAGGAGGAGGGGAGGGTGGAGGAGGATGAGGAGGAAGGAAGGATGAGGCGGAGGAGGAGTGAGGTAGGAGGGAGGACGAGGACGAACGTGCCTGATTTGAGGAGCTCGCGGTGGATTCCCGAAGAAGAGGAGGAGAGGGAGGGAGGGATGACTCGGAGGAGGAGGAGGAGGAGGTGGAGGATGGAGGAGACGGATTATGCGGAGGTGAGGAGGAGGAGGGAGGAGAAGTGGAGGAGGAGGAAGAGGAGGAGGATGGGGAGGTGGAGGATGAGGAGGAGGAAGAGGAGGCTGAGGAGGAAGAGGAGGAGGAAGAGGAGGAGGAGGAGGATGAGGAGGAGGAGGCGGAGGAGGAGGATGATAAGGAGGAGGCGTAGGAGGAGGATGCGGAGGAGTGGGAGGAGGTGGATGATGAATAAGAGGAGGAGGAGGAGGAGGAGGAGGGGAAGCAGGAGGAGGATGAGGAGGAGGAGGAGGAAGATGAGGCGGATGATGCTGCTGCTGATGATGATGCTGATGATGTTGCTGATGATGATGGTGATAACGATGATGCTGATGATGATGAAGACGACGATGATGATGATACCGATGATGATGCTGATGATGATGCTGATGATGATTATGCTGATGATGATGATGATGGTGATGATGATGATGCTGCTGATGATGATGATGATGTTGGTGATGATGATGATGATGCTGATGATGATGCTGATGATGATGTTGATGCTGATGATGATGATGATGAGGAGGAGGAGGAGGAGGAGGCAGAGGAGGAGGAGGCAGATGAGGAGGAGGAGGAGGAGGAGGAGGAGGAGGAGGGCAGGGTGGAGCAGGACATGATGGTAGTTGGCGGCGCTCCGAGAAGAGCCGACTAGCCTCAGACATGGAGCTAGAGTGCGCTGCTCACACCACGGCGGTTCTCGCGATCTCGCACGCCAGGAATCAAAACAGCTATTGCGCTTCGCGTGCAGCTGTGCACCTGCGGGTGCCTCAAAATCGTGGACGTCCACTGCATTGGTCGCCTCGCGCTCAGTCCTGAGCTCAAGCCAGAGTCGAGGCGCAGCCAAGTTTTGGGGAAACCCGCCTGCTTGTGAAGCAAACGACAGGTCATTGACTCCGCGAATGCTGATCTCGGGTGTGTACTCTTCACGTGGCATCTGCGTGGCAAGAAGGTTCCAGGTCCTTCTGTCACTTTTGGGTTAAACAGCTCCCATCATTCATAGGCGGTAGAGAAACTGGCCGGGGTCAGGGCTCAGGATGACGCAAGTGGCGTCACGACTCAAGTTCAGGTCTGCGCCACTGAGGGCATGGGAGGGCAGTGACAGGCCGGCTGTCTCGCTCATAGCTCACACGTTCTGCTATGAGGTCTTCTCTCCCCCAGAGGTTGATTACCCTGAGCCCACGTTCGAGGCCATCGAGATTCATGTGGATCCCTCCCTTGACCACGACCCCGAGGGAGACGTGGGGAGAGCTGGCCAATGAAGCTCAATTCCCGAATGGCTGATGGTTTGTCCACCTCTTTACTCGCACTTGTCTCCCACAAGCCTACGAACGGCCGCATGTAACTTCACGTCGTCAGTGCTCGAACGACCGACCGATCGAAGAAGAGGAGGAGGAGGAGGAGGAGGAGAAGGAGGAGAAGGAGGATGAGGAGGAGGATGAGGAGGAGGACGAGAGGAGGAGGAGGAGGAGGAGGAGGAGGAGGAGGAGGAGGAGGACGAGGAGGAGAAGGAGGAGAATGAGGAGCAGGAGGAGGACGAGGAGGAGGATGAGAAGCATTTAGAGGATCTGTGAGGATGATGGTGAGGATGTGGATTGCGAGGATGAGGAGTTGAGTGAGGAGAGGGAGGAGGATGAGAAGGAGGATGAGGATGAACATGATGATACTGCTGCTGCTGATAATGATGATTATGATGATGATGATGATGATGATGATGATGATGATGATGATGATGATGATGATGATGATGATGATGATGATGATGTTGATGATGATGATGATGACGATACTGAGGATTATGCTAATGCTAATGCTGATGATGCTGATGATGATGATGAGGATGATAATGAGGATGAGGGTAATGATTATGCTAATGCTGATGCTGATGATGCTGATGATGCTGATGATGATGACTATGATGATGATGCTGATGCTGATGCTGCTGATGTTGATGCTGATGCTGCTGCTGCTGCTGCTGCTGATGATGATGATGATGATGACTTCGCTTGGCCGACAAGGCTCCACAGCTGTCGGGCGATAAGGCCAGGTGCCTGCAGATTCTGCTCAAGCATAAGGAGTTGAAGCTCCAGAAGGACAGGGGGGCATGGCGAGCATTCCGTCCACACTACCCTCTTCCAGCGCCTGTCCTCCTTCTCCTCTTCCTATTCCTCCTCTCTTCCTCTCCTTGTCGTCACCCTCCCTCGTCTTTCCCTTCTTCCTCGCCCTCCTCCTTCTCGCCCGTCGCCCGTCCTGCTTTCCCTGCTTTTCGCTGCGCTGGCCCTCCCCCTCCCCCCCGTCTCCGTTTTCCTGAATCCTCCCCTGCTCTTTCTCAGAAGAGCTCTGATCAGGCCCCTTCTTGTGCCTTCCCCAAGGACCCGCAGTCGATGCTCCGGATGAAGGGCAAGGGGGCTGTAACGAGGTCGCTGGCCCAAGCAGAAAAAGAGCTGCTGGAGATGCAGAGGTCGCTGAAGACAAACCCGAACACCTTCCACGTGCTTGCGCGGAAGCACTCGGAGTGCGACTCCGCGATGCAGCCGGGCCAGAGTGCCGGCGACCTCGGCTGGGTCTCGAGGGGCTGCTTCCCCGACCCGCAGCTCGAAGATGTCATGTTCGCGCTCAAGGCGTACGAGGCGGGGGGGGGGGTCTGGAAACCCTGATCCCCCCGTCGTTGTCATCTCGGATGGTGAACTCACTGTTCCGCCGGCCTCCGCAGCGAGCTCTGGAAGTTTAGCGGAGGGCTCATCAAAAATCCTACCGATTCACGGCGCAGCTGAAACACATTCGCAACTGGTTTCAATCGGAGCCCGCAGGAGCGCAGCAAGCAGGAACGTTCGAGCGAAAGGCACCCTTCACCCTTCCGCCGCCTTCCGCCGCCCTTCCGCCGCCCTTCCGCCGAGGAAGAGGTGCCGACTCCTCGGCAGCACCGGCACGCACTTCTCACTTTTTTGGTGCGCGTCGGCCCCCCGCGAGTGCGGCGCGCGCAGTCTTTCGAACCCTCGTGGCAGGAGCTCCGCGGCGGGCGCTCTCTCTGGCCACGCCGCTCGGGGAAGGGTCTGCTGCAGGGCTGCAAGACTTGTGCACTCCACGTTCGTGTTGGACGACTTTCTCCCCCCCCCTCCCCCCGCGCGGCCGCAATTCGTCCTTTTCCTCCCTCTTGCACGCCTGACAGTTCGCCTTGCGGTTGCCCCGAATAGCCACGCGCTGAAGCGGACTGCCTCTGCCTCCCTCGCCGCCGACGGAAGAAATTCGTGTTGGACGTGTGCCTCCAGCATCAGCACGTGGCGCTGGTGTGCCTTTCTCCTCGGGCTGCGCCTGGGATCCAGGTCGGGGACCCATTCGTGGCCGAGGCTCGCCGGGGCGAGAAGCGTCCCTGCGTTCTTCCTTTGGCGGCGGCGGGCGCCTTCTGGCCATACCGCCAGGGAGACGGCCTGCTGCAAGACTTGCGTGCTCCACGTTCGTGTCGGGCGTGCGCCTCCAGCATCAGCACGCAGTACTAGTACGGCGGCGGCATTGGATAAGGAACATTTTCCTGGGGCCCAGACCCTGGCGCATTCCTTATCGTTTCAAGGCGAGGTGGGTGGCCCTGGTCGCGAGACCCTGGGTTCCTTATGGAAGGTATCCTTATCTAAAACCTCCACCGTATGTCCTTCTGCGTTCCAACTCCTCCGACTCATCGAGGGACGAGGCCTTTTCTGGAGCACTCCAGGTGAGCGACATCATCACCACGCCCCGGGGCCTCCACATCCTGCAGCGGATCGCGTGACGCCCCGGACGGCGAGGGAGATGCCTGCCCTGTGCAGCCCTCGCGGGGGTTCGAGCGAGCAGGTAAATGAGCGAGAGGGATGATGATGATGACGATGATGATGATGATATGATGATGATGATGATGATGATGATGATGATGAGGAGGAGGAGGAGGGAGGAGGAGGAGGAGGAGGAGGAGAGGAGGCGGAGGAGGAGGAGGAGGGGAGGCGGAGGCGGAGGCGGAGGCGGAGGCGGAGGAGGAGGCGGAGGAGAGGAGGAGGAGGAGGAGGAGGAGGAAGGAGGAGGGAGGAGGAGGAAGGAGGAGGAGGAGGAGGACGGAGGAGGGAGGGGGAAGGAGGAGGAGGAGGAGGAGGAGGAGAAGGAGGAGGAGGAGGAGGAGGAGGAGGAGGAGGAAGAGGAGGAGGGCGGATGAGGAGGAGGAGGAGGAGGAGGAGGCGGGGGAGATGAGGAGAAGGCGGAGGAGGAGGAGGAGAAGGAGGAGGAGGAGGAGGAGGATGAAGAGGAGGAGGAGGAGGAGGAAGAGGAGGAGGAGCAGCAGGAGGAGGAGGAGGAGGAGGAGGAGGAGGAGGAGATCATTCGTTCGTTCGCTGTTTGAAGATATGACGACAATGGCCATGGTGATGGCGATGGCGAGAACATTTGAGCAGCAGCAGGTCAACGACTTGGCTGACAAGGGCACGACCCTAGGATCCGCTCTGCACCTCCATGCGTCTGAGTCTGATGGTGAGCACCGCGTTGTTCGCACGCTCATCCGAATCGCCCATGCTGTAGTTGTGCTCTTAGCAACGATCATACCCACTTGACCGAAAAGGTGCCTGGGTGGGGTGGAGTGGGCTCCCCTGCCGAAGGCGCCTGGCCAGCCGCTCGCCGCCCCTCGCGAGGGCATCTGGGCGGGTCGTCTTTGTCAATGCTTCAGTTGTCTTCGGAGCCCTCGTGCTCCGCAGAGGCCTTCTCCTGGTCGGTGCCCCGGGCACCTCCGTGTCCAGCCGCCCACCCTGTGCGAGCTACCGTCGCGTGTTGATTGATTGCGCCGCGACTGCATTGACCGTGGATGCTCGAATCTCCTCTTTCTCCTCGTCCCCTGTAGCCGTTTTGGCTCATAACGAAGACGAATCTCTCGGTACTGCACCTTCAGCCTCTCCCTTCGTGGGAGGGGGGGACCATGGCGAGTGGCTTCGTGGCGCGCCTGGCCTTGGCAGCGTTCGCTGACCTGGCCGCTGGCATTCATCTGAGAGCCTTCGATGAAGGCAAAGGCGACGCCAGCCTGGCAAGCATGGGCACCCCCTCCCTGTCGATGCAGAGCCCCCCCTCCCCCCTCCCTCGTTGGTGTTCGAGCCAGGCCTCCGACGGCACCCCCGTTTCGGGACGATCCGGGCCCCCCCGCAACGCCCTCGGCGAGGCACAGTTGCTGGGAGGCAGCCTGGGGCTGGAAAACTGCCACGATGCGACGAAAACGTTCGGAAACCTCGAACTGCCACGATGCGACGAAAACGTTCGGAAACCTCGAGCCTCGAACTCCCCTGATCTGGGATCAAGAACTGATCGATCCCTTCCTCCTCTTTGTCCCTCCCCTCACGCTCCTCCTATCCGTTTTCCCCGGCAGGCTGCGCAAGCCTAACGAACATGGGCACCCACTTCACCGTCGACGTGGAGGTGGGCACACCCGCGCAGACTTTTAGTGTCGTTGCCGACACGGGCAACACCAGGGCACAATGAGGAGGAGGCGGCGGCGGCGGAGGAGGGGGAGGATGAGGAGGGGGAGGACGAGGAGGAGGAGGAGGAGGAGGAGTAGGCTTAGGAGGAATCATAATTCACATACTGGTTTGGACAAGAATAAGACCAATGATACCGTCATGAATATGGAGGTTCATTTTAATTTGTGTAATGATAACCTTAATGACTATCGAAGTAGCATTACTGCTGCTGCTACGAATGCTACGACTACAAGTCTGACTAAAACTTGGACTAGGATTAGGACTAGGACTAGGACTAGGGCTAGGATTAGGACTGGGACTAGGAATAGGACTCGAACTCGGACTAGGATTAGGACTACGACTACGTCTACGACTACGTCTACGACTACGACTATGACTACGACTACGACGACTACTACGACGACTACCACTACCTCTTCCATTTCTACTGCTACTGCTACTACTCCTGCTGCTGCTGCTGCTGCTACTACTACTACTACTACTACCACGACTACCATTACTAGTATTACTACTACCGCTGCTGCTGCTACGTCTGCTACTACTGTCACTTTTACTATTACCAGTACTACTACTACCACTACTACTACCCATACTCCTTGCTACTACTACTACTACTACTACAACAACTACTACAACTACTACTACTACTACTACTACTACTACTACTACTACTGCTACTACTACTACTACTACTATTACGGCTATTACTACTACTACTACTACTACTACTACTACTACTACTACTACTACTACTACTACTAGTACTACTACTACTACTTCAACTACTGCTTCTACGGCTACTACGACTACTACTACTACGATTATTATCACAACCGAGATCGTATTAGTAGTAGTAGTAGTAGTAGTAGTAGTAGTAGTAGTAGTAGTAGTAGTAGTAGTAGTAGTAGTAGTAGTAGTAGTAGTAGTAGTAGTAGTAGTAGTAGTAGTAGTAGTAGTAGTAGTAGTAGTAGTAGTAGTAGTAGTAGTAGTAGTAGTAGTAGTAGTAGTACTATTAGTAGTAGTAGTAGTAGTAGTAGAAGTAGTAGTAGTAGTAGTAGTAGTAGTAGTAGTAGTAGTAGTAGTAGTAGTAGTAGTAGTAGTAGTAGTAGTAGTAAGTAGTAGTAGTAGTAGTAGTAGTAGTAGTAGTAGTAGTAGTAGTAGTAGTAGTAATCGTAGTCGT